TTTACTTTTCTCCTTGAGACATTTAACTCCATCTCAGTGTAGGGAATCAGCTTGTAAATTTACATTTTATTTTTGGTATTTTAGGGCCAAAAGTTCAAAATAACACTTTTTCCCCCCCTTCTCCTTAATTTAATGTTTACACTAAATAAAAACACATCACATACTGAAAATACGTTTTTTGTTATGAAGAGAAAGCTCTGCATTTTTATCTTGTGTCATTTTGAGATATTGATTGCTGATTATTTTGAGTTTAAAATCAGTATTATATACAGGGACGTTCATTTGTATCTTGTTTGTGCCAGTTATCACAGCTCCACATCAAAGACAATAATTTCATGTGCCGGCACAGTGGTACCTTATAAGGTCATGTAATGGTTAATAAAATACTAATAAAGAAAATGTTTGTGTCACTGTGGGTTGTTGTCCAGATCAAAGCAAATCATCTACGCAGCAACCACTATGTGCCAGTGGCACAGTTGTTTCTATTGATGGCAAAGCCTGTCAGACCGCACTGAAGAAAGACCAACTGATTTTGATGGGGCAGGGTTGTGAAAAATACATAAACTGTATTTTAACTCTGCTTTCAGAAATGCAAGTTTTGTTTTTGTTTTTCTTTTGGGTTTTTTTTGTTAATTGTTTCCTAATATTTCATCAAGAAGATGGCAAACTCTGGTAGCTCACTCTTGAGCCTCAACCTGTCTCTTAATAGAGTTAATTAGTCATCTAACCCACATGATTCTGTTCGTTATCAACAGACTGAATTTTTATATATGTCATCTATTCACAACAGCAGTCTTAAGACACTATATTTGCCTTATACTGTATAAGGCAAAGTTGGAGAGGAACGGCCCACTGGGTCTCTGACACGTCAACAACCGAAAACTGCCGCAGATGTGGAGAGGAGACAACAGCTGTGAGGAGTGGGAAGAGAACATGGAGGAAAATGAAGGCTGATGTAGTTAAAGTGAGAGAGTATGAAGATTGAGTTGAAAGGTAAGGGTCTCATTAATGCTAAAATAGACTCAACAGACACTTGCTATCAAATGCTGAGTTCACCCACTGCTTATACTTAACTCTCTAGGTTACAGGACAACAGGTGACATGTGAGAGAAAAAAAAGCAGCAGGAAAAAGAAAAACTGGTACGACCAACTAGTCATTAGATAATCAATGCAGTTTTAATACAGTAAGTTGTGAGATGTTTTCTACTGATTGAGCAACACGAGTGATTATTGTATGAAGAAAATTCTATCGTGTGGTAATATTTTAAATATGTATTTCTGTTGTCCTGTTAACTTGGTGGGTTATTATTCCATATGGAAATTAGTTAATTGTTGTTAGATTAGGGAAAGATGATTTGATCTCACAAGTGAATATATTATAACAGAGGGTTGAATTAGTGGAGACTAAAGGATTGAGTTTCCTTTTTCAGGTGTATGAGTAAATCTTGTACATAGATAAACACACCCAAATGGTCTAAAAAACTTGCTTGTAGAATACATGATAGCATATTATGTTTTATTTAGGAAGTGGAAAAGTTAGATAAAATGAGGGCTCTATGACTAAAATGAATGCAAGCGTACAGACGTGGGGAAGAAATTCACATTCCAGGGATGAAACATGGCAATGTGTTTAGTAAAATATCAGACAGTAAAACAATATTGTTGTGTGAATTGTCCAGGTGCTAACAATATTTCTCTGTGTATTTAGCAGGTGAAACGATGCCAGTTGACTCCAGACTCTCCAGTAAATATGATGTGGGAAAAATGAACAGAGGTAGGGACTCTTAAGTCTGAGTTCAGACCAGGTAAGCATCAGGAATTAATTAAAGCAAGGAGCAGTGACAATTGTACTGCCTGTTATGGTACCAGAAGTTCTAATCCCTACATCATAGTTTTATTGGGGGGTATTTTGAGAGGAAAATAGTCTATGTTTGGGCGTGTCCTGAAATAGGCCTAATATACAGTGCACTTAGAAGGACCTGTCAGGCATCATCCCTCCCTCTGTGTGTCCTGATTGTATTCTCTCTCTCTCTCTCTCTCTCTCTCTCTCTCTCTCCCCCCCCACCTACCTACCTACCTGGGGTCGAAAGTCTTGATAAATGCACGGCGTTTCGGCGGGTATACCGGCTTCCGCAAGTGAGACGCTTATTTTGAGCAATGAAAAAATAATAAGATATAATTTTATTTTTATATTTCAAAATCACAATAATCTTCCAATTTAGAACTACAAGTTAAAAAAAAATAACTAACATAAATAAAATACACTTCAGCTAAATACTTCTAATTTATTTTCCCAAACCACCCGGAGCCGCAAAATAAGGACTAAAGAGCCGCAGGTTGCCGACCCCTGTACTACGTCCATCCATCCAAAATGTTTATGAAGTGCCTGTTTGGTCTTTCCCAAACAACCACTTCACATTTGGACAGAGAAGACAGGCCTTAACACCTACTCACATCCTGGGCCATCTGACCTTAGGAAATCACATGATAGGGTGGTGCTAGGTTTCACAATGAGCTTATAACCGAAACCTTGGCTGATTGTGACCTACACATGTTTACACACCTTGGCTTTCGTGATTCATCATTATATTACGTTCATCATTATATTGGGAAATGATCAGAGACCTGGTTACAGCAGGATGATTATGTTAGTTTAGATTAATCAACACCTCCGAGTCATCTCAGAATCCTTGAAGAACAGGCCGAAGTGTGGCAACAGTTTTCCACTCCAGCTTGTTAATCCACCAAAGACTAAGACAGACTCTTGATTCATTTGAAATCCTGATGCTTAGCCATGTCCACCCTAACTAGAAAACGCATAAAGAGTTCTATTTTGTTTTATTTTGTTTTCTATTATTCGCCTGGTCCTTAGTCAGAGTTTATATCTGAATTTAAACTGATTTATTGCTCACCTCAGATAAAATAATTATAGTTGGTTACTTTAACATCCAAGAAGATGCTGAAAATGACAGCTTCAGCACGGCATTTAATCTGATTGATTATCTTTATAATAATGTTATAACTCTCTTCTCTTTCCTCTTTACAGTTTTCCACATAAACCACACGATATTTTCAAAGATAGAGCATCATTTCAAATATTATAATATATTTATATATAATATATAATATATTTATTATATATTATTTATATTTATTTATAATATATAATATTATAAATAAATTTAATACTTTTAAATATTTTTTTTTTCTATTTAGTTTTTGGTGGTTTTACTCTTGCTGCTTTACAATCTTCCAACCCCTAAACTTTAGAAACACAGGCATTTTTGTTGATGAGGAAAAAAGGCACATACAGTTTTATCAATTTATTTTATTATGAATGAATGCATAAATTAAACCTTTATTTGTCACTTGCAGTTGCCTTCAGTGAAACTGGACCCCTTCTGACCATACATACATTACACAAGCCTTGCATTGGGGAAAATCGATGAAAAATTCTCAGTTGGGGAAAAACTATGAAAAATTCTCCGTGAATAAAAATGTCAAGGAACAATCTTCCCCAAAAATACACTTGGGGTAGTTTATAAAATAAGAACATATGACATTGTTTACAATTTTCATTATGCAGCTTATCTGGTTCTTTTCCTCTCTACATTGGTAAAAAAATGCTATTTTCACTTGAGATTGTGGAATTTTGGATATTTGTATAATTGACTGGTCCCCAATACACTGTATATTCAACTCTAGTCTTAAGATTATATTTTCTTTCCCATTCAGCTGCTTTGTCAGCAATAAGAAAATAACATGGTGTTTTATTTATTTCTCTTCTCTGAATACATGGGCTGTTGTAGGTGTAAATAACAAGTAAAGCCTCTTTCTGTGTAGTGTTTAGGTTTCCCAATCTTGTTTTTAAAGATTCTTCAATCAAGGGTATTAATATTTCCTCTGTGTGTAAGTGTTTATCTAAGTCTGGCTTACATTTGGAGAAAGTCTCTTCCACACGACCGTCAATGATAAGTTTAGCACATGCCCATTGACGCTCTCTCTTAACATTTTTGAAATTTAATAAATTGAGAAAAAGTTGCAAAACCAAAAGAAAGATGTGTGCCTCTGTCGGTCCATTAAGAGAATCCGTTTCTTGCTCATCCTCATTTCTAAATAATTACAAAATACACAGAAAAAAATAGTGTTATTTAAAAGTTTAGCAGTAATAGTCTCCTTACCCCAAATAGCACACAGAGCATTGTTAAATAGTAAATGATTAATTAAATTTTTATTGGGAAACTTTTTTGAAATTTTCTTAAGGTACTACATGTTTCTTTGGGACTAACTACTTACAGAATCTCGCTGTTAGAGGTAGCTTCCATGTTTTCATCAAGTGTGAAGCGTATTGAGAAGTGGAGCTTGACAAGCTTTCCAGACTCGTTCCATGGTGACTTGTAGAACGACTTAATCAAACTGAGTGTGAATAAGGAATAAACTATCAAGCTGTGGCATATGTATTTTACAGTGTGTGTATGTGTAATGTTAAAAATAAAGCCCCCCTTTTATTACTTACACAGTGTTGTTTTTAATGGTTACATCTGTATACGGCGCTGTCCGATTATCACCATAATCATTCCGGTTAGATTGAAAACACTTGATGCGAAGGATTCCCTTATGGAGGAATAGATAGGTTTATTAATATTCATTACAAGGTTTACTGAAGCCCAAATCAAGTAAAAGTACTAATCAAGTACCAATGTGATCTCATACTAGTTGTCCAGAAATAACCAGTTACCTGGGTGACCAGTGAATTGATGAAAATAATGTATGAAACAAACATACATAAAAAGATGACAACAAAGGTCCAAAGTAGAAGATGGATCTGTAGAAACATATAATAACAAATAAATTAAAATTATCACACTAGTTCTGTTATTATAAGATATCAACAAAACACAGTAAACTGTGAAAAAGAAAGAATTGTTGCTACACCTACCGTATGGTATGAAGCATGATGTTCATTCTTTAGCTTTTCTTTATTCATTTTTTTTTTTTTTTTTTTTTTTTTTTGCTTACCTTTTGATGACTGCCTTTATATACTCCTCAAGCCCTTCCCTTGGCCAATCATTTTGCCAACTTGCCACATTACGTGTGCAACTGAAATCCTGATTGTCAGGACTGACTGGCTGGTGAACTTCATCCAAGTCACACCTTGATTTTTGTACATTTTGCTTGGAAGGCAAAGTAATTGCAGTTTACAGTGTTATTGCATGTACTAAAAAGTCATGTTTCTTAAAATTAATTTTGAAGCCTGTGACACAGAAATACACTTTTTGTGTTGTTGTTGGGGACAAATACCTGTGCTTATATTATGTGGGTGTTTGAGTGCGCTTTTCAACCAATTTGTATGTTTTTAAAAAGCCAGTTCCACATTGGACATAGTAATATTTCTATACATCTTGGAGATTATCTTCCTTTTTTTGTCCAGGGCATCATATTTAAAAAAATGAGCCTGAGAACCTGAGTCTAAGGAGCTTGGAAGAAAAAGCGTCTGGACTTCTTTGAGTTGCTTGAAGATGTTTCACCTCTCATCCAAGAAGCTCCTTCAGTTCTAGGGTCAAATGGTGGAGAGTCCCAGATTTAAGCCCTGTGGGAGTATCCCTCCAAGAAGGACAATGGGCCCCCTATTGATCCTCTATCTAATCACACAAGCCAAGGTGTGAAAACGGGTGTAGGTCACAATCAGCCAAGGTTTCGGGTGAGCTCATTCTGAAGCCTAGCCCCACCGTATCATGTGATTTCCTGAGGTCAGATGGCCCAGGGTATGAGTGGGCATTAAGGCGTCTGGGAAGGGATCTCAAAAGTGGATTATAGATGGCCGACAGTTGGTGTCATAAAACACCGCCTCTGTTCAAAGATGGTCGCTCACAGTGGACAGTTGTCCCTCTTGGAGAAATCAACTAGTCATTACAGGTATACAAAACAAAGTTTTAAACATGATTGTTGGGTCTAAACACATGACCCTGCTGGAATCAGAACACACAAGAGCCACTTGTACGTTTTTACTTGCAAGGACAGGTTGCGCTCACAGAGCTGATACAAGCACGCCTGTAGCCAACTCCAGCCTTCCCTGACAGCCCTTTTATTCAGTGAACCCAGCTACACAAACATCTCATTGCAAAACCATAAATGGTGTGTCGTGATAGCTAAGGCACTGTGTGTGTGAGCATGCATGTGAGAGCACGTGAGTGCATGTGTGTGTCTGTATACGTGACTTCCTGCTACACAATATATATTTACAACCATTTAACAACATCTCTAATCATAAAAAGGGTGTCTCCCATCACCCCGATATATGGGTTAGCCCTTTAATGTCCCACCATATACAAAGCATAGGCAAGGTCATAAAGGGCATCAAGTGAACATCCCTTAGCAGAGAAGGAACCCAGAAGATTTACATGGAATGTGCCTGCAGTTGAAAACTATAGCTATAGCCTCCGTCAACATCCTACATGTAGGGGAGGAAAATAGAAACAGAAGAATATCTTTAATCATGCAGTTTAAAACAAGGTTTACAATTTTAAGCACAACAATGACAACTTTTAACAAAATCACTCCAACAATGACCACTTCAATTCATTCATACATCAGGAGAAATGAGAAAATGATCAATGAAATATGATGCAATTTCTTTTTAAGCCAGATAAAAATGCATATGAACGGTTTTTACTGTAAAACTAATGTGTTTGATAACAAGGGAAACACAATATTGGAGGAACTGCAGGGAGTAAAATGTTCCGTTTGTCAGCAATGCAACTGTGTTTTTGGAGACTTCAGATTTCAGTTATTTATTTATTTTAAACAAAACACAAACACAGGCAAATAATTTGGGCGACTGTCATGCTGAGGTAGTTTCAACTGGTAATGACCTTGTGGTGCTGTTCCTTCTAACTGCTGTAAACACATGTGTAACCTGAAGCCCAGTCCATTATTTGTGGGTTTGGCATCAGATGTTAGCACTGAATTACAAGAATGCTGTCTGTCCTGAATGGACCAGTTGGTGATGCGTGAGAAGAGCAGATCCTTTGTTGGACTCTAGCCTTCCTCCCTGCTCTGTAATTCTTGGCTTTCAATGATCTCTCTGAACTGTTCTTTTTCAGGGTGGAGTGATTGAACAGCATACAGCTTTGATAAATTAAAAAAACAAAAACATTCATGTGATGTGAAAACCCCAGCAATCACTAGGGAACCGCTTTATTAGCTGACCAACGGGTTTTGGCTTGCAGCGTTCATCAGGGTAATTACAAAATATCAAACAGTCTGTGTTTAAATATTTTAAAAAGTATAATACAGAAAGAATCTGAGTGAACCAATCACACATTCACGCATAAACAAGGTATTAGAAAATTCGAAAGTAAAAACAAAATAGTCTAACACAAACTTCATTCAGGACTCACAGCATTCCTGCACTGCTCCCATTGTTTCACACCCAGCAAATGCTTTAAGCCTACAAAGGTGTGCAGGTGTGGGTAGGTTTGAGTGTACATTCACAGGAACAAAAACTAGAAAATGGAAAGCAAGAATGTAAAAAATACAATGCTTGGGTGTATTGCTAAAAGAAAAAGCAAAAGCAAAGGTTTCAGCAAAAACATAATTTTCAATTTGAAATTATTTGGGTGTTAAAAGTTATTTACATGCATTTTAATTTGGCTGAAAATGACATGATTTTTGTTATTGTTAACAGTATTTCTTTGGTAATAGGATAATGTCTTCAGAAAGGGGTTTGTTACATGGAGGACTGCTATGAGAAAGAAGTATGATCTGTCCTGCAGAAACTGTTTTTCTCCAGTTAAGATTATTTCTTAAAGCTACTTTGGAACCAAAAATGATCTTACCTGCAGTAAGTGACCTGGAAAAACTGCTCCATGAAGGAAACTTACCTCATCCTTTTTCAAAAATGTATTCTTTCCTAATGTACGCTGCACCAAAACTGGGGTTACACATGTCTGATTTCATTGTAACAACTGATTTAGAACTATGGTTGGAATTATGTCAAAGCAACAATTAATTGCAGAAGACAACTGACACATTACAACTTTCTCCATCAAAACTCACATTACACCACAAAAGTTATATAAATATAAATTAGAGTTATCTAGTCTGTGCTTTAGATGTGGCATTGAGGATTCATTATGTGGTTTTGCACAAAGGTAAACACATTCTGGCCTAACTTTTCCAACATTATATCAAAACCTTTAGAGTTAAAAGTCTTATAAAGTGCTCTGACCCAGTGAATAAAATTATCACCAAATTAAAATTTATAATGCCAGTCAAAACTAACAAAGGCCTTTTCGGCATGTAAAGTAACAGCTATGGTACGTTTGGCCTTGGAGGCTGCCACATGAAATATGTTAAATAACCTACCAAATATATTGGCAGAGGATCTCTTCCGGAAAAAAACCAGCCTGTCTTTTAACTCTTTTAAAAACATTCAAGGAAAAACCGATCCTCTCCAGTCCTTTTGACTTAGTTTGGGTTGCTCAATGCTAGAAGGGAAGGAGTCTATCACAGTAAGATCTTCTTGTGATTACAACTTATGGAGTTAAAAATATATTTTTTTAAGATTTCATTTATTTATTTTGGGTTCTGCGTGATGTAGCCATAGTTCATTATCTATTTAAGTAATTGTATATAAGTTCTCTTGCTTCCTTAATTACCAGCCTTCTCCCCATGTTTGTAGTACTTATATTTTGGATATTAACATACTTTTCTCCAACCTATATGTGAATAGTGTATTATATCTGAGGTTTTTATTGACCAATAAACTGTATATTGTTTTATGCTTTGAAAATCTTTTTCAAGTGTAAGAATTTCTTTTTCTAGCTCTTCTATTTCTGCTGTGTATACTTTTGTAAAGCTCTTTTATGTAGGAAATAATTTTTCCTCTTTTAATGTGTCACATAATATGAAACTACTAGGCAAGTAAGGGCAATCTGTTTAGCAAAACAGCATTATTAGATGAATAGACAAAAGTCCTGTTTTTTGAGAAGGGTTTAGTTCAAGTGCCACCTGTATGTGTTGTATGTCAAAAAAAGGTCAATTCTAGTGTGTGTGTTATGTCGATTAGAATAAAAAGAATAATAGAGAATAGTAATAGAAAAATTATAGAATAATCAGACTTCAACATTTAGTGTTTTGCAAAAGGGTAAAACGTGAATGTTCACCATTTAGACTTTAATTGCAGGAAATTAAGGAATTAAGAAAGAGCAAAGTAAAAAGCAAGACCAAATAGTAAAAATCACAAAATAATCAAATCTGTTAAACAATAGTTAAGTAACCTGCTCTGAGTTCATGCTGAATTAGTTCTTGTCTTCAGTGAGGAGAGGTTGGAGGAACGATGAGCACAACCAGGTCTAAAAATGCACTTATCTTGATGTTCTGTGTTAATGACAATCGCTGGTAATCACAGCAAAAATTTCTGGCAAAACTTGACCTACTTGAAAGGTGCATGGAGAGGATGAAAGAATTAACAATGCAGGAACTCCAGCAACACTTAAGGGAAGATGAACAACTTTAATAATTGACCAACACTGATCTATCCATGAAGTTTTGATTGGTTAATTTGATTTTTTTTCTGTTTCCTGTCTTGTATTTAAGCAATTTTCTACAATGTTTTACTATGACCCTGATGAAGGCCACAAGCCGAAACACGTTGGTCAAATATTAAAGTTGTTCATCTTCCCTTAAGTGTTGCTGGAGTTCCTGCATTGTGAATTGCTGGTAATCAACAAGAGAGCACCTGGGCGTCCAGTGGAAGTTTGATGTGAATCAAAATCCTTCTGAATTAACCCAGAGCAGATGAAAACCCCAAAATTACAAAATCAATTCATAGGCTCACAGTATGGACTGTGGTCACCCCTAAACCATCTCTGATGGAATTTTCAATTCTGATCCTTTTAGACCCAAGCTTCTGGACTGCTCATCTTGCAGAAGACAAAAGGGAAGAACCCCCAACTTCTTCTTCACCCCTCCTTTATAGCTGCTCCCCCTTTCTCCCCCTTTTCCTACTG